AGAGAGAGAGAGAGAGAGAGAGAGAGAGAGAGTTTTGCTATCCTCTGACAGGCAAAGTAAAAGCAGTCCAACTCCTTAATATGCTCTTTGTCCTGCTGAGAGTTTAGAAGATTCACCGTCGACCACCTTGATAAAAAAAATCCTACCTGTGTCGTTGATAGCATGACAGATTTACAATCTTGTGATCCTCTGTGTGTCCGCAGGGAAGTGACCGCTATGGACAGGAGTGGGAGCGCTGTTTGACCAGTTGTGGCCAGGTCATCGAGGAAGCCAACACCATCTTCAACAGCATCAGCTCCTCCTCTGTGTGTAGCGAGGTGCTCAAATCTTCTCAGGGAAATGAGTATGTCACCAGTAAGTATGTTGTTTGGTTAGGTGGACTGTTCTCTATGTGTGTTTGTGTGTGTCTGTGTGTTAGTGTGTATGTGTGTGCGTAAGTTTAGTTTTAGTATTAGTAGAGGTTTTACGGCGCTCGCAACTGCATAAGGTCATATGAGCGCCAGAAGATTAGAGGTGTTACAAGAGAGTAATAAACATAAAAAAGAAGAAGGGGAGATAAGGACGATAGATGTTTGACAGGGAAGAGAAGCAAACCACACCAGAATACCCGCCAACCACCCACGTGTGTGTATGTCTGTACGTGTATGTGCCTCTACTGAATTTATGTTTGTGTGTGTCTGTGTACTCAGGTCTTATCAGGAGATGGAGTGTGTCACCAGTAAGTGTACGTGTTTAGTTGCATGGGCTTTTTTATGTGTGTGTGTGTGTGTGCCTGTGTATATGTGTGCGTGTATGTGTGTGCGAGTTTCTGTGTTTGTGTGTCCTTATACTTTTGGGCCTTTCAGATATTAGTTCAAAGCTGTCCCATCAGTTCAACTATTATGCTCACTCTGTGGACAGGGTTTCAAACTTAACCAACATAGTATGGAAATTTGAGCTTCAAGGTCAAACAGGATCATAGTTATTCTCATCCTATCAGGAACATTACCTGGCACCTTTTACTTTTTTATCTTTGAGGAACAAGTTGACAGCTTTTATAGGATCTCATTAGGGCCTAATAAGGCATGAAACTTCAATGAAAATAAACATAAACTTCTTTATAATATTGCTCATGTTGTATGTGGTTGATAGATTCTTTGATCCGTTCTGCTTTTTCAATTTTTTTTCTATGTTTGTTTTATCAAAATCTGCTCATGGTGAAATGCAACCTTCAAATTACTGACTCACAGATTTACAGTATTCTATAACACAACTCTTCTGCGGTGTTCCCCTGTGGATAGTTCTTGGGTACGCATGTAAGTAGTTCTTTTGTTCTAACCCTCTGCTGTTTCTGCCTATCTATCTTGCTTCCTTAAGTGTCATATGACCATCATGATGTAAATATGATTCTCTTTTACTTAAACAAAGAAAGAAACGAACAAACAGGCTGTATTTCTTGTCTGTCCACAGGTGTGATTGAGATTTACCGCGTGGTGTGCCGTGTCATGACGTCAATGCGAGCCACAGGTGAGATCTAACCTCTGGAATATGTTCAAACTCATCCATGTACATTTAACCTATGACACCGATATATCGGTGAGCGACTTATTTGCCCCTGCCCCGAAGCACCAATATACCGATATATGCTAATCTACCATAGAACAGTAGTCCGTACAAGTACAAGGATAAAAAGGGGGAAAATGACGTCAAAAGGGCTTGCAGGTTCATTGTAACTATTGTAAAGGTCAAGACAGGTCAAGGCAGCTCAAGGAAGAGAGAATCGGTTTAAATAAAGAAGGCTTGCAGAGTTCATGGAGTGTGTAGCCAAGTAGACATTTTGTTTGCTCAGGAAGCCAGGGGACGAGTTATTTTGGGTTCAGGAGGTCAGGGTTCATTCCGTTAACTCACTCCATACCTGCTGTCTTTCTCATTGCTTTCTCCGGTGTGCCTGCCATTTCGATGTGTTTCTAAAAATCATTGTGACATACGGTAACTAATTTTTAATAGTTATGAATATGGCTGTGAGAGTAAGCAGTTGAAATAGAACTTTGTGACTGTAGCATGTGTGGCATGGCTAGGCATCCTTCCAGTTAAGTGTAGTAGGTTGCTTGGCCACAGTGAGTTGAAAAAAAGAATGATGACCATTGATAGAATGCCTTAGTTAACTCCTGTCATGGTTTCTTTGGGCTATATTTTACACACAAATGTCTGTATGTATATAAATATAAGTTTGGATGTGTGTATATGTGTGTGTGTAAGTGTGTGTGTGTGTGTGTGTGTGTGT